GGTCCCTTTTTGAAAGAGGTGTTTACGCCCACAAAATCTTCATTAACAATCTCCCTTGTATTCATTAATGATTCTTTTTACCTCTCATTTCCCCAGCTCTATCCTTCTTAATCCATTCCTTATCACTAGACACAGAGAATATAAGGAAAATTCCAGAGATGAATATGATATTTACTCTTGAGAATTATGAAAAACCCAACAGGTAGGAAGTATATAACTGTTTCTTAGTATAACTTAGTATAATTGTTCCTTAAATTCCATAGGTTCTAGCTGTCTGATTATGTGCAGGTCTTGGGAATATGTTCATGTACAAATTTCCAAGTAATTTTTAAAAATTTTTAATTTTTAGCAATTCTCCACTTCTCTGACAGCAGTCTACCAATAAGGTGTCTCAGTTTTTCAGTGTTTGAACTTTTCCCCTGCTGACATTAGATGACAAACTTTCTAACATGGGAGGATGTCAAAGATCCCTTTAAAATCTTCCGGTGAAATAAAACAGATTAGTGGGACAAGACACATCATTTTCCCAGGAGCCTTAGACTCTGCCTAACTAAAAGGGAATTGAGGTAGAGCTTTGGGTCATTGCTACAGCTCAGGCTGTTGTCATTAGCATAGACCTTTTGCTTTCTTTTCATTATATCCCTAATAGATCATAATTTTCCTATTAAAATAATGGAGAAAAAATTTTTAAAAAAATGTAATTTCTCAAACTTTAAAATCCAGGCATGCCCAGAAAGAAAATAAAGCAAAAAATTATTTTAAATAAGCAAAGATTCTGTTTGAAAAATGCACAAAAAGAGGAAAAAAATAACATCAGCAATCACCTATACAGATCTTATCTTAAACAATTTTCTATTGAAACCATAAAGAAAAGCACTGAAATCTCTGAGTTTCAAGTAAATGGCCACTTAATAATAATGGCATACAAACTTCAAACATGATAGTTCATATTTCTGCAGTGACAAAGTGGAAAATAGAGTCAATTTTCCAAATCAAAATGAAAATTCTCTGGGTACGAGTAAAAACCCACAGATGCATCAAATATTGGAGCTGAAAACTAAGAAAAACCAATGCTTCTAGAAGAGAGTGATTTATAAATTTATAAAACATCTTAAGCTGTCATACTCAAACATTTTAGAGAAGAGAAAAAAGCTTATTTCTTCAAGTTTTTGCTATTTGCATCTGCTACAATACTAGCTTCTAGCCTTTGCCACAGGACTGTCTTAAGTGAAACTTGTATTAGAATAAGGAACAGAGGAAGTTATTTAGCATTTTGAATGATGACATGCAGATCCAGATTGTAAAGCTCTTTAGATTTTTAATTAATTAATTAATTTCACAATGCCTGTAAAACAGCTGCAAAGGCATCATGCCTAAATTTTCAGAGGCAAATTTGGAAGTATTCAAAAAGAGGCAGAGTTGCCACTTTCAAGTATTTTGTAGTACAGGAAATTTTATTTCCATTTAGGTATGGGTTAGACTACATGGATGCTGAGGTACCTTTTAACTCTGAAATTCTGAGAACTCAAATTTCTTTTGCATGTGAATGTCTTTCAAATAATTGAAGAAGAAAGGCATCTATAATAGATGCCTTCATTTCCTTTCTTAACTCTCTACCTTCTGGCTTCTGACCTCATCATTTACCTGAAAACTGCTCGTGCTCTCTCTCTCTCTCTCTCTCTCTCTCTCTCTCTCTCTCTCTCTCTCTCTCTCTCTCTCTTCCCCTCCCTCAAGTTACCGATGATCACTGCCAAATCATTCTCAGTCCTCACTGGTTTTTTTTTTAACCTTTGTGGAAGACTTTAGGTCTATCAGTACTAGATTTCATCTTATTAGATTTGAGGTCAAGAAGCTCCTGAGTTCCAATTCTATTATTTAATGTGTTAACTAGTGCAATGGAAAGAACAACTTGGAGTCAGAGAACCTGAGTTCAAATGTTGCTGTTGCTCCTACCCATGTGTATTACCTCTGTGACCTTGAGCAAGTCAGTCAGTCAATAAACATTTATTAAGTGCCTACTATGTGCCAGGCACTGTACCAAGCATGTCACTTAACCTCTTCAGTTTTCTCATCTGTAGAATAAGGGTGTTGTACTCTGTGGTCAGTACAGTTTCTTCCAGATCTTAGTCTATATTCTTATTTTTCTCTGCAAAGAAAGGGGCATAGCAAAAAAATATAATGCTAACAGATTTTCTCCTGGTGCTAGGAACTTGAAGCCAGAATACTGTATCCCTCCAAACTTTGCAGTTAGCTTTAAACTTGATAAGGACAGATCCCTGTGTCCGTCCACTAGAGACAGTATCCCTCCGGAAACACAGAACACATTTTACAGATGAGTAAACTGAAACTCACTGGTGAAATAATCTGAATGTAATTTCATACAGGGGCAGCTAGGTGGTGCAGTGGAAAGAGTGCAGGACGTGAACAACTGAGTTCAAATGCATCCTCAGACACTTACTAGCTATGTGACCCTGGGCAAGTCACTTAGCCTTGCTTGCCTCAGTTTCCTCATTTGTGAAATGAGCTGGAGAAGGACATGGCAAATCACTCCAGTATCTCTGCTAAGAAAACCCCAAATGGGATCACAAAGAGTTGGACACAACTGAAAAATGATTGAGCAACAGCAAATTTCACACAGACGTTGGCTGTGCCCGATACTTTGGACACAGGCTCTCTTCCTTCCTTTCCAGTGCTCTTTGTACTATATTGTACTTCTTCATTAATCTATTAATCAGCACCCTTGGGGTCTAATCATTAAATAATGTCCAAGTCTAACTGATTATACCTTCACCTAACCCATATCTTTCCCCTTTGCCCACAGGGATATGGTTGGAAATGCTGCAAAACATTTTACTGAAACCCATGTTATTAAGACTTTAAGCATTCCCATGCATTAATAATATTCCTTTGATTCTAAACATGGAGTAAGTCCTTCCTTCTAAGTTGCTATTTCTGAGAATATTAGGCACTTGTGGAAATTCAGGAGCATTTCCTAATAGCTAGCTAATTCACACACTTATCCTAGTTCATTGCCTGGAAGAATTTCACTATTAATAGCATATGCAATAAAGCTTCCATTAATGAAGAGGTTACATTCCAAGAAAGCAGTCTTGTCAGTTATTTTGTTATCAAATGTAACAATAGATGTAAGAAATGTTTCAGACCTTGGAATACCTTACCATACCTCAGTATGGTGTGCCACACCTCTCCTATTTTATCCCCAACAGAATACAGCCCTCCTATCTCTCAAGGATGGCTCCCCACCCAATAACAGAGAGGCTACATAGTGTGACTGGGGAAAAGACAGGGATGTGTTGCTTCCCACTTCCACGCAAGGGGACCATGTGACTGATTGTAGCCCTTGTGCAATCAGACTCCAGCTTCTCCTTGAGAGCCCTGCAGCTGCGACAGCACTGCTACCTCCTCCTCCATAAGCTACCAGAAACATCACAAATCTAACACTGAGGAGCCCGGAACTTTCCATTAACCCCCCTTCTACTAGGCTGGTTTTGTTAAGAGAAACCTTGTGTCCAGGGAAATTAATTTAAATAATACAGCATAACAACAGTATAATTTTATTTTAATTTATAGGGCAGCTAGGTGGTACAATGGATAAAGTGCTGGACCTAGAATCAGGCAGACTCCTCTTTGTGAGTTCAAATCTGGCCTCAGACACTTTCTAGCTGTGTGATCCTGGGCAAGTCATTTAACCCTATTTACCACAGTTTCCTCATCTGTAAAATAAACTGGAAAAGGAAATGGCAAACCATTCCAGTATATTTAACAAGAAAACCCCAAATGGAGTCATGAAGAGTCAGACTTTACTGAAAGGACTGAACAACAATAAATAAATGCTAAACACAAATGACAGAAATGAATAATTAGTCAAAATTTAAATTGTTACTTATCTACTCTTTTCATTCCTGAGACTAAGGCTATGTGTGTGTTTGCTCAGCTGAGGTCTTTGGCCTAGTTAGCATACAGAATTGTATCTGCTGATCATGAATTACAGATTTTAACACACTTTTAACACATTTCCTACAGCAAGGGTGAGAAACCTATTTTTTCTACTAAGAGCCATGGGAGATGAGGGAGAAAAAAACAATTGGGGCCACACCATTATAAATCAGTTTAATTTGTTTCTTTTTGAGAGAGCAGTATCAAATGTTCTGCTGATATGCCTTTTAACTTAAGGGCAGGGGACATTAAATTCTATTTGATAATTAAAATATATTTTCTATCTTATCACTAGTGAAGAGGAGATGGAAAGGAGGAAGATAGAGAAAAATGAATATAAAAAGAAAGCACAGATAAAGGGAGACTGCAAGAAAACCAGTGCAGTAAACATACAGATCCTCATACATAGACCTATACACAGACATGGAGATGGTCACAAACTCACAGAGGCTACAAACGTACAAATATATAAACCCACAGAAGGAAAGCAACACACATAGAGGAACTTGCACACAGAGAAATGGTCTTTCATGGACTAATATCCTCATTTTCTATTTTTTTTACTTTAATGCCAGTAAACACTTTGATAGTCAGTGTTGTATTTTCACAACTGTAGGCATAAATGAGTAATCCTAATTTCTGGTATTTATCCTTTACTGCAGATGAAATGAAACCAAGGGCCTAAAGTTACCCATCCCTGCACTATCAATTAATATCAGGGCATACACACACACTTGTTTAAGCAATCAGTCTTGGAAATAGTAGCAAAGAGATCAAGAAAAGATTCTCTTTTTTTATATTGTTCTTCCTTTACTGTTGACCATAGCTACTCTTTGATCTTTATCTGTAACCTACATACCTTTTGAAACCTTGGCTTATTTAAGAAAGACAGAAAATGTTTTCCTGTTTTTTTCAGAACTTCATTGTGAATTGTTTCCCTGCTAAACATGTTTCAAATGATTCATTCTTCTGTATTACACAAAAGACTTTCACTTCAGTGGATAGCAATTAGGAATATGGCAGATCCCCAAACACCTAGGTACCTGCTGTCTGTCCAGACGCATCCTCTTTGCAGCATTTCTACTCTCACTCTCACAGGCTGAAGCCAAGATACTCTCTGCAACTGCTGAAGTAAGGTGAGAAGGAATAGGTCGAGACTAAAAAAGAGAGAGAGAGAAAAAATAAGGAAAAATAAACATTAATAATAGGCTCATTAACAAACCAGTGATTTCCTTAGAGGAGCTCACAGAAGAGTCACATGTGCAGGAGGATCCATTCATTGTAACTTAATTTATTTGAACAGAAGGAGGAAATGGAAATTGTAAAGATGAAAAATGAAAACTAGTTAGAGGTTAAAGCTGCAGTGCATACACAGATCCATCATTTCCCCCACAGTGCCATTGTCCAGAGTATTGAGTTTGGCTCATTAGGCTGCGTTTTCTGTAGGCAGTGTCACACTCGAAGCATCACAGCAGTAACCTTGCTATCTGAATATTTCTAATAAAACTAGAAATTCATTTTTAATTCCTTTGTAGCAGATGACAGTGTTTTTTAAACTTATAAAAACACAAGTGATGGGACTCAAATATCACTGAAAACATAACAGATTGTCAGACCAACTCAGAACATTCTTGGTATGAAATTTTATGAATATTTACTATCTTTGTTGCAGCATGATTGATGTGATTGAAATTGATGTGATTTAAAAATGAATCTATACCTGCTTGGACATACTAATAGATGGCTATACTAGAGCAATATAGATACATTTCCAGATGTGAGACATGTAGTTTTTTATATGAATTCACATTATGAAAGTTAATAACATTTACATGTGTAAATCTAACTTCCTTATGACCCACACAGAATCATTGGCTGAACTACCACCCAAATGACTATAAATGCAATGCAACTCTCATATCAATTTGTGAAGACCACAGAACAGATTATTTTCATTCTTTTCTCAGTAATTACACACAAAATCCTCTTGCTGAAAGATGAAGGACTTAATGACTACCTAAACCAGTTTTCTTAATTAAGATACACAGAGATAGAACCAAAATAACATGAAAAATAAGTTGGAGCTGAACACAGTTAAAAAATACAAGCACAATTTAAGGAAATTAATGCACCCGACATGTCTTCTTCAGTTTTCTTTTCATTAAGCTTTAGTCAACAACATGTATGTAAGTTATTAAAAGCTCTAACAAATAGGAAACAGATTTTTCCCCATGAAGCTCTAGTATTTTCTCAATGATATTCAGTTTTCTAATTCTCCCCAAGAGAAATATTAGAGACAAATCTCACTGTAAGATTTATATAATCATTCCAATTTCTACAAAAGTTAGGTTTGGTCACTAGTTTTCTGATAGATGGTTATAGGTGTTTTCCCATACTCAGATAGAAACCAGTGCTCTGGCCTTGTGTGAACGATAAGGCAATGATTAAGGCTCAGCCAGCAGATCTGCTCTCTGCTTTTCTGGAGAGGGTAGCCTTCCTTGACAAAAAGCTGACACTATACCATGATAATATGTCTACTCATCTACTAATCCTGCAGGCTCTCTCAAGAGATGATCATATATAGCTTTGACAACTGAGAAGTACAACTAGTATCACTGAGTCTGGATAGATTTTTTTGGAAGTTATTTCTGCAAGAAGATCAAAAGTAACAGACTACAGAATGGGGCAGAGAAAATAATATAGAAGTAGGGAAACTGGAATGCTAAGGGCCAAGCAGAGAGACAATCCAATGAAACTGTACTGTTAAATCAGTATGCATTTATTAAAGGGCTATTATGTACCAGGCAGTGTGGAGAAACAAACTGGACTGCTAAACATTCCAGAAGCACCTGATCAACTTTAAAATGCCTGCTAACTCTATTGAAAGGCTTTAATTTAATTCTTCTTTCTTAACCAGAAAAGTGACAGATTATGGGTTTCCGTAAAATATGGCCAGTATGACTTTTAAGAGCATAAATTAGATGGGTGCTCACTGACCTTTGGCCTTCAGAGGAAACATAAAGGGTCATAATTCCTTTCACCCACATCCCCCTCCCAAGTCTAACTCAGCAAACATTTATTAAGCATCTGCTAACTGAGAGGCACTCTGCTAAGTCCTGGACATACAAAGACAAAATGAGAAATAGTCTCTTCCATTAAGGAGTTTACATTCTAATGAGGAGAGATAACATGTCAACAGTTAAGCATAACTCTAACAGTTTGAGGAGAGAGAGTATTGCCAAGTAGAGGCATCAGAAATGGCTTCCTGGTCCCTATGCCTCTGATATTGCTGATGGATTTGTTTTTCAGAGACACATGATATTAAGGGCAAATCAGTATTATACCAATAAGAGACTAATCCTTTTAGAACATGGATCTTGACCTGAGGTATGTGACCTTGCTTTTTTTTTTTTAAGCAAAAATCTTTGACAACTCTATTTCAATATAGTGGCTTTCCTTTGTAATCTCATGTATTTTATTTTGTGCATTTAAAACCTTACTCTAAGAAGGGACCCATAGGCTTCACCAGACTTCTAAAGGGCTCTATGACAGAAAAGGGTGAAGAACACTTGTCTTAGAAAAATAGATTATTAGATCTCTCTTTAAGTTCCAGGTGTGGGGTTAAAAGTGTCTCTTTTTCAAATCTTAATTCTCTATTTCACTCAAGGAAAGGGAAATTTCACTCATTACCTCTAATTTCCCTTCTGTCTCCCTATTAGGATTTTGTTAAAAGATGGGGTGGTTAAACTGGTGGAAAGAGATTAATGAACAGAAATAAAAGTACCTTAAGGAAAAGATATAGCCTGTAGAACAGAGGAATTAAAATGTGAAACATGTAATAAAAACACTTACAATATTATGTACGTTTATATATTTATTACAATGTGTCTTTAATTTGAAAAAAAAAACACACTGTAAAATACCTTAGGGTATAAGAGAATCTTCTTGCAGTTGAAAGGTGCAAAAATATTGGGGAACCTTCTATTTGGCAAATCTTTTATTTCACAATATTTCCATATGAATGATTTAAATAGAGTTTCACCTAGAGACAGAGTGGGAGAATAGATGACACCTGAGGAAACTCACAGTCGGAGAGGTCATATGTGGGTTTATGGTTTAAGAATGTAAGCATTATTCCTTAACGTAGTGCTGCTCTCAGTTTAATGTCTAATCATAGAATGTTAGGATTGTAGGGGACCTTAGCCATGTCACATTTATCTTACAGATGAAGAGACTGAGGCCTTGAGAATTAAAACAACTCACTCCAAATCGTGCAGTTGGTTGACTGCAAAGCTAAAATTAGCTCAAGTCTTCTGATTCTCAAGTAAGTGCTCTTTTCATTAGATCACCCTAACTCCCTCAATAAAAACCAGCCCCATGGCATTTCATTTAAGCTACTTATTGTTCAGTTCTCAAATATTATGTAAAGGTTAAATAATTACACAGCAAACATGATTCACAACCAAAAATCATGAAGACAAAATATACTATCTCCTTATAAAACAGCTGCCAAGACCTGTGACACCTACCCATGAAATCACAGGTAAAACAATAGTATAATTAACATTTGAATGTAAAATAATACTATAATAAAGCTAATTTATACTCACTGGGGCAAAGAAGGCCAGTCTAAATTAGCAAATGAAACATGCCTTGTAGAATTGTTTTTAAAAATATGATTTTATTAATTTCAAGTATACATATATTAATTAGGATTTTAAAAATTATAAATAGAAACCTTGCCGTAACCTGATTTTTATGGATATGCAAGACTCCTCAGTAATTAGAATCCATTTGAAAATGCTTAAATCCTTGAAAACAGGCTTTTTATTAAGTCAGTAAAGTACCACTGTGAAATAGTGTTTATCTTATTAATTTGCTTATTTAAAAACAACAACCAAAAAGAGCCCTCATACAAAAACACACAAACCCCAGGCCAGTGGTTGCTTAATCAGAAGACTCGCCCAGTGCTGCTCCTGAGCCCTTGAGTTAAATGACTGCTGAAGTTTTTGAACTTGAATTAAAGCTTAGAACCAAGTCCATTCAACCTGGAGACAATATAGGGACACAGGAACCATCATCTATTGCAACTTTTCCATGGGCTTCTAAAAATAGAAATAAGATGAATACTTTGCGGAATCTGAATTACTGAGCTTGTATTTAGTAGTCAGAAAAAAAAATAACCAAGAGAATCTTTCTTTTACATAAAAATTGGCTTAGTAAGAGATTCTTCAGGGTTGATAATGGATTGCCCTAAATGCTACAGCACTTCTCTGATTCCACTATTGGCCAGTGCCCTGAGGTCACAGTTTTGTATCCAAAGATAGCATTAAACACCACCAGCTATTCCCTCCTCCAGCTCCAAATTATTAATTATTATGGAGCTGACTATACTGGTTCGATTAGCCAAGTCTTTTGTTGCTGCTCATAGACTGGCTTTCCTTCTTTGGTCCATTTCCTTTCTCTAGGGCAATCAAAGCAAGATGGTATAATTTTGGAAAAAAATTAACAAATATTTCTCATTATAATGGGTTTGATGGAGGAGGCTTAAATTATTGTCAAAAATGGGATGTGTGTTTCTTTTGTCTATTCTCCCTTAGTCTTCTTTATTCCCATGGACAACCGTGAGTTCATTGGAATGTCACTGTTTCTGAGCGTTGCTGACAGGTAATTAGCATAATGAATCAATGCCTACTCTGGACTAAATGCTGCAGCTCTGGACTGGCAAAAGAATGCTGCTGCTCAGGCCCAGTGCCTGCTTATGCCAGAAAAAGTGACCATAGAAACAAAAGAGTTTTAGGGAATGATGAGACAAAGAGAACATTTTAAAACAAATGAAAATCATTTTGGCAAAACCCCCAGAAAAACATGTCCCTCTTTTAAGGAGGTTGGTCACACTCTAGTCCATTTGAGAATAAATTGAAGAAAACCCTAAATAAAAAAAAAAAGAGAACAAATATATTTGAGTATAGCAAGGCATGTGATCCAAGTTGTGCTGATACTGGGAAGGTTGGTTACCTATTATTTTTTCCCCCTCTATGTGATAGATAGAGCTAACTACTCACTGCTCACTAATTAACTGGTCATAATTAGCTGTCATTCTCAACTTGCTTCTGGGGGCATCTCTGCTCAGCACTGCTCTTATCTTGTTAATTAC